ATTTACAAGAAATTACCTTATATAAAAAAAAATTAAAAAAAAATAGTCAAGGCCCATTTAAGCCCGTTTAGCAGCCCACATAGCCCGGGACCATTACTACACGGTCCCGGTCTGGTTACACCCAAAAGTCCATGAAGCCCGTGTTCGTTTAAGCCCGGCCCACGAAGACCGAGTCCGTTTGAGCCCGACCCACGAAGCCCGTTTGGTACCGAGCCCGGACCGGATGCCAGCCTTGGTCTAGCAGCACGGCGGAAGCATAGCAAATCAACATAATAGATAGTTCCACCATTTAGCAGTACCCTAGGCCAGCTTTTATATGTATATACACATACTTCGGATTTCAGATTGGTTTAAAATTTTGCCAAACCATACCTGCACGTATATCCAAAAATTTTAATCATGTTCCCCTGTCTGAACCATATAACCGAAATTCTGACTATCAGAATAGCATAAATCAGTTCGGATTCTCGAATTAAGATTATCCTAATTGACCACAACCCTAATTCCACGGGATACTTGCTACCTCACACCATCAACAGGCACCATGTAACTTTGTCCACCAAGCTTGGACAACTAGTTTTTTATAATATTGGATCGAGACTAGCATAAATGGAGCAAAATGGACAGTGAGAACTCATATTGCCGACTCCAATTTGCTTGGATTTGAGGGCTAGCTATTGTAATTGTACCCTTAGCAGGGCCGGCTTCAATTTCGAACTATAAGTTGGATAATCATGCCTGAAAATTCAATTTGTAAGTTAGTTGGATAAGGTAGATGATGATGGCAGGATCTGTCTTTTTGCTAAAAAAACATCTGACATAAGTGACTCTTAATCTCTCACATGCACGCAAAACAAAGAAATGTTGGTGTATGCGTGATCGATATAGTTGTGTACCAGTAGAGCAGTGCTGGATGTTAATAAGATTTAGTCCTCTGTTTTCCATCTCTCAATTACAACCTGTAATTGCTGAGTTCTCCTCCTAACCTGTGAAACAAAGATTGTCAGTAAGTTGGTACCAATTAGACATTCAGCTGCACTGAAAAGAAAAATATGTAATTGTATAATCCTAACCTAAAGCAAGTAATCTCTGTAACTTTGCTGCTTACTTCTGTATGCTCTTTGACAAGTTGATGCTTTCAAAAGTTAAAACAGTATCGTATTACATACTTCATCTTAGCCATTTATGTAGAAAAAATGTAACAACATTTTTTGTTGAGGATTTAGAAGTTGCCTTCTTTCCTTCCATCTAATGGCCCCACCAGCAATCCCCAAAAAGTGGAAAAGAATGAAATTATTCAAAGTGGTGTTGATATTTGGGAAAACGTTCTGACTTGCCCCTGTCGTTTGTGATTTGATTTAAATATATCCTTAGTTAACCTATCTGCTCGTACATGCCCTCGCCGTTACAAATCAGCGCATTTATGCCCGTCACCAATGGCCCTCCAAGATGGGCTGACGGGGCTGATTTGTCATTGATATTTTACCACGTTGGAGTCCACGTGGCTTCCACATAGACAAGATTTACAAAACCCATATTTTTTCTTCCTCCCCTTCCCCCTCCAGCCCTTCTTCCACCACCACCTACCTCACCACTATCACCACCACCATTAATATACATAGGGATGATCATTGTTAAAGAAATGGACTTTGGGCTTAATTCAACCCCAAAAACTAGTTCGTGAGATGAGGAATGTCCAAATTATATTAAGGAAACCACCCATCCCTTAAAGCACCAATGTGGGACTCTTTACAGTACCCCTCACGCCTAGGGCTAGACATCCGGAGCGTGGACAACTTAATATGGGGGCCCAACATTGGGAAATGAGAATTTGAATGGGTCTTGCTCTGATACCATGTTAAAAAAATGCACCTTGGGCCTAACTTAACCCCAAAAGCTAGCTCATGAGGTGGGGATTGCCCAAGTCATCTTAAGGAGATCACTCATCCCTTAAAGCACCAATGTGAAACTCTTCACAACAGTGTTTTTGAGAGCGAAGCGCAAAAAAGCGACAAGGGCTCGCCTCGCTTCAAAAGCGACACGCATGCTTTATTAAAGTAAAGCGCAATTCTTAAAAAACACAATGTAAAATTATAAATAATCAAAAGCTTCAATTTAAAAACTTAAAAGTAGGTACTAGGTACCACCAAATCATCCACAAACCATAGGACAAGCAAAATCAAAGCTACTAAATTACTAGCATCAAGTCAATCAACATATTATTCTTCTACTCTTCTTGTTCTTCTTCAAGATTGTGAAAATCTTGAATTCCTCTATTATCTTCATATTGCTCGTAATCTTCTTCTTCCCCCTCCTCTTCATGATCACTTTCATCTTCATCAATTAGGGATAGGGATCGACTTGTAGTAGCCACACTTTTTCCCTTCCTAATCGAGCTTGAATTTGGAGTATTCCTCCTTAAACCATAAGGATCCTCCCCCAACTCCACTACCAACCGCAACATCACCCCAAGTGAAATCAGAGTCGCCTTCAAATACTTCATCATCTTCACAATTTTTGGGGACTCCGGTTAGCCACTCATTAGCCTCATCAATATTGTCCAAAAAAATTGGATCAATTATACTGCGGTGGTTGTAGCGACGCCTCAATGCTCTATTGTATTTTATGAACACTAGATTATGGAGGCGCTTCAAAGTTAGTCGATTCCTCTTTTTTGTATGAATCTGCAAACAAGATGTGTCAACTAACTAGTAGGAGTTGGGACAATTGAGATATAATTTACTTTATCTCAAAATACGAAATAATTCTTTTTATTTCTCACGTGTTCAAAAACACTCCAGTTCCTTTCACATCCGGATAAGTTACAAGTTAAACTTAGAACTTTGATGGCGAAAGTCTGTAAATCCGGAGTCCCTACACCATATTGGTCCCACCACTCAACTATAGAAGTCAAAAAAAATGTTCAAGAGTTAATAAGTATAAAAAATACATTAAAGTTAGAGCTATAAAATATAGAAACACTTGGTCACCTGGCGACTTCGTCTTTCTTTGTTTAATAGCAAGTCGGAGCTTAAAAAGTCCTTCAGTTGCCTTGTAAATAGCAAGCTGATCTACTATCTTTTCTGGCAAGTCTTCATCTGGGGTCAACTTGATAACAATCTGGTGGAATCCTGTCCACACTTCTTTAGCCAAATGAATTATTCTCATGTTGATCATAAAAGAGTGACGGGTTCAGAATAAGTCCAGCTGCATGCAAAGGTTTATGAAGTTGCTCATCCCATCTTGCATCAATGATCTGAAAGACCTTTGTATATTTCTGCTCATCAGTGAATGATGCTTGAATAGCCTCCTTGGCTCTATCCATAGCTTCTTAGAGGTAGCCCATTGGTGGTTTTTGCTCCCCATCCACTAAACGGAGTACTTTAACCAAAGGGCCACCAATTTTAAGAGCATGAAAGACATTATTCCAAAAAGAATAATGTGTGCAACATCTTTCCCCGCACTTTCCTTTGCAAATTTACTCTTGCTCCATTCCTCTGAAGTGAATAACTTTCTCAAATTGGCTTTTTGCAAGTGGATACTATGCAAAGTCAAGAAAGCAGTGGCGAACCTTGTCTTGCCTGATTTCACCAAATTTTTTTGCATGGTGAATCTTCTCATCATATTCAATAACAAGGGCCGCTGAGAAATATAAGAATGCACCCTAACGCCCCTGGCCAAAAACTGTAGAGAAGGGTTTTTCCTGGAAAATGTCCTCGAACATCAAGTTGATACAATGAGCCACATATGGAGTCCAATAGACATTCTTGTACGCTCCTTCAATCATGCCACCCGCTTTCACATTTTCACTTGCATTATCAGTGACCACTTGAACAACTTTGCTTGGGCCAATCTTTTCGATGGTGTTCTAAAACAAGGTAAACATTTTGATGTGGTCAGTGGATGAGCCGCTAGCATTAATGGACTCAAGAAACAAACTTCCCCGGGGAGAATTCACCAACACATTAATAATCATTTTCCCAGTTCTTGACGTCCACTTATCCATCATAATGGAGTAGCCATACTTGTTCCACACAACTTTATGCTCCTCAACAATTTTATTAGTCTCCTCCACTTCCTTGTTTAGATAAGGACCTCTTATTTCATGATAAGTGGGAGGCTTCATTTCAGGTCCGTATTGACCAACGACCTCAATAAAGTCTCCAAAAGTGTCATAGTTGACACAATCGAAGGGGAGCCCAGCATCATAGACCCATCGTGCAAAAGCTCTAACTGCACGATCCCTCAAAATGTCTTTAGCAATTTTTTGTACATCTTTTCCACCGCTCTTTGCTTCCGGCTTCTTTGGAAAATAGCAATCTATAGGACCTTTAGTCGATGATCCATCACTTGAAGAGATTGCATCTCTTCCCCGTTTTGTTGGAAGTGACAATTTTTCAATATAATCATCATCATGATTGGTCACCATTGGTTGATGACTCATTTGATTTTTTTGCTCTTTCTTCTTCTCAACAAAATTCTTTATTTCTTCCCTCACCTCCGGTGGGCATTTCGGACAACTTGTGACATTTCTATCGCCACCAATAAGATTGTATTTAAAGCGATAAATTCCACCTGTTGTCGTCTTGTTACAAAACTTGTATACAACATTTGTATTCTTCTTATTAACTCTATCGCCAAGCCAGGTCTTTCTCTTTCGAACTTTGAGAGATTTTGAAATCTCTATTAAGATATAAGAAAATACATAATCAAATAAACTGAAAATACATATAATATATATAAATAATAATGAATTTTCTGAAATGAAATACATATAAAATTAATCAAATAAACTGAAAATATAACATATATATAATTAATTTTATATGTTGAGATATAATAATAACATATATATAATTAATTTTATATGCTGAAATACAACAACAACAACAACGACCCAGTATAATCCCACAAGTGGGGTCTGGGGAGGGTA